GTCGCGGACGGAGCCGCCCCGGTCCCCGCCCCGGCCGCCGGACAGCCGGACAGACGGACGGACGCGCGGACAGACGGGCGCCCGGGCCGCGCGGGGCGGGGGGGGACTTCCTGCTCAGAACCTGTCCGACCAGCCGGGCCCGCACGCCCCCCTCCCGCAGGTGCCCGGGGCAGGGGGTCAGACCGGGCTCTCCGCCGGCCGAGAGGCCCGATCCCGAGAAACCCAGGCGGGAAGCGGGCGGGAAGGTGAGAGGCCGCACCGGGGGTGGGGCTGCAGCGCCCTCCTGCTCCCGCGGCGCCGCCCGGGGCCCACGACCGCGAGGCCCCAGGAGAGAGCTGGGCGCGCTCGCCCTGTGCCCAGCGCAAAGCTGCAGGCCCGCTCCAGGCCAAGCCCGCCCCTCCCCACGTGAGTGTCGCGGCTCAGTTCTGCAAACACTGGAGTGCCCAGTGCTCTGACAAAGCGAAGATGTCTGAGATCCTCTCGCCGCTGGCTCGTCTGGACTTTGCACTGGAGGGGCCGGGTGTGGAGATGGGCGGAGGAGGCTCGGCTTTTCCCCGGAAGGAAGGGAAGGAAGAGAACAGTGAACAGACAACTAGGACTGGAGTTCTGGGGCAAGTGCGGGGGCTCAGGTGCCGCCTGCGGCCTGTCCAGGAGCCAGCCTCAGGGGACCAGAGAGGATCAGTCGCTTAGCAGGGGACTCTTATCTTCCTGAAGCATCAGACCTGCAAGGTCAGCGGCTGTGGCTCCTGCTCTGAGAGGAATGAAGAGCAGCCTTAGGCACTGGAGGGGAAGACCAGGGCGGCATAGAACTGCCAGCGTCCTGCTGGGCCTTGCTTGCCAGCCTGGCCTCAGACCAGGGGTACAGACCCGGGGCTGGTGGTCTCTACAGGGCCCTCCAGCTCTGAGATCTCCCAGGGAAGGGCAAGCCAACTGCTGAGCAGAGCCTGCGCACACACAGACACACAGACACAGACACAGACACACACACACACAGACACACACACACACACACACACAGCTAGCCTGCTAAGGTGTCTCCTTCCCCAAATGCCCTCTCCTCCAGGGAGCCTTCCTTCTTGGAATTGGAGGTGAGGGGTGAGGTTCAAGGAATGCAGGTCGCCCTGGGAGCCTGGAGACCTGACTTTGAGCTCTGATTCTGCCATGTGCACCATGTGACTTGGGGCAAATCACCGCAGCTTCCTGGTCTGCGTAGTGGAAATGATGGGCACCTGTCCAGTTCCCTCCAGGTTGTGGGGGTGAAATGAGTTGGTTGTTGAGTGTTGG